AGCCACCTTCCCGCCCCAGGGCAGGTGCCCTCAAGTGCAGGGCATCCCCCAAGTGGGGCTACGGGGGATGGAGAGCAAGGGGCAGCCGGGCAGGAGGAAGGGAGTGTGGGAAGGGAGGCGGCCGGTCAGAGAAGCGAGAGGGCTCTGGAGTGGGGTGGATGGGCCCTCAGCGTGGCGCCCACACCGCTGAATGCAGGTAGCGAGTTGCTTCTTAGTTCAGGTATGTCCCAGATATCGAACTTGCTGCAAGACGAGGGCCGATCTGATCTCAGCCGAATCGGGGCATCCCGAACGTGGAGAGGGCCTGTGGCACCAGGGTGCGTTTCCGCCCAAAGAAACGTGGCAAATTCCAGGTTGCCACTGAGTGTCACTGCTCGAAGGAGCTGGGCCTCTCAATGCGAAGCCTCGGGAAGAAGGAGACCCACCGCGGTCCTTCCCGTGTCCATGCTCCGACCCTGAGTCCCCTGAAGGTCCTTTTCAGGCCTGTCCCTGGGGCTTCCTGCTAGCCTAGGAAAATTCCCAAAATGCAGCAGAAAGCTGGTCCTCGCCACTGCCAGAGTGACCTCGGCTGGCCTGTCCCGGGGCTTTCTCTGCACCTGCCAGGTGTTGGTGTGGCCTGGGAGGAGTCTCAAGGCAAGGAATTCAACCAGCTCCTGCGATCTCTCCAGCCCAGTCCAACCACCCTCCACCCCTGCTGGACAAGGGTCAGGGCCTAGGTGCTGCAGGAGATGCCACGAGAGGGTCAGTGGTCAAGCTGTTGGAGAAAGGAAGGCCAGAGGGGCACTGAGTCCTCAGGTGAGAGGCGGGAAGCACCCGTGCTGGCTGGAGGGATGCGGGGAAGTTCCCAGAGCCCAGGAGTCCAGGTGGCTGGGAGCTGGGACCCTGGAGGAGGCCCAGGCCCCAAAGAGAGGAGAGTTCTTCTCTCCCTGCTGCCCAGCCCCGCCCTGCTGGAAGAGGAGGCTAGAGGCAGCGTGCTGAGCCCGTGCTCTGCAGAAGCAGGAGCCAGGCCAGGCTCCTGAGCTCCAGGGCAGAACAGGGCCAGAGCCAAGTCGGTCAGGTTAGGAAGGTGGACACGGCCACTGCCCAGGCAGGAGGAGCTGGGTGCTGTCTGGTGTGTGTAGCTGGCCCACAGAGCCTCCAGGACCTGGCCACTGAGATCTGTGGTTCCATTGTCCACTCGGGACGCAGCCAGGTGCAGCTCTCTGAGATGGCCAGGCCAGGTCTGTCCCTCCACGAGAATGGAACCCAGGCAGGACCAGCACCCCACAGGGAGGTGGGGTAGTGTAGGCACAGTGTTCTAGGGGACTTCCAGCTCGGAGCCATAAAGATCCATGGTGGCCTTTAGTTTGGTGGCCAGAGTGCTGACCTGTGACTCACTCCTGAAGGTTCAGAGTTCCTGGAAGGAAGATCAACACAGACACAGCCCAGCTTCCTGCAGAAGAAGGGGTTCCCCGGGCGGGGCAGTAAGGGAAGCCCACTGCCCCGGCAGACCTGGCCTCCCCCTGCTGGCCTGGAGGCCTGGAGGGCAGCAAAGCAGGGGCTCCTAGGAGAAGGACGCAGGGCACCTTCAGCTCTGAACAGGGAGAACTCGCCCAGTGTGGGAGCTAGGAGGCAGGCCCTCCCTCCCATGGCCGACCTCAGTCCCGGTCCCCAGGGAAGCTCAGTCCCCACCTCCAGGCCAGGGACACCTGCCCAGCACCAGCTGGGCCCCTGGTTGTGAAGCTGCCCCCAGATCCCACAGTCCACCTGGTGGCCTGGGTGGCCCCAGAGCCCGTCAGTGTGCAGACTTCAGAAGAGGTCTGTGAACACACTGAGTTTCGGCCATCCCACAGACTCTCTGGTGCCTGGTCAGCAACACAGGGGCTGTGACAGAGGCCATCACATCCGCCCAAAGCAGAGGCAGCCTGAGGGGCAAAGGCAGGGGCACGCTCAGGGTCCTCCTACGTGGACTCTGAGCCTTCTGGGGCTTCCATGGGGGAGGAGCACAGGAGAGCAAGAGGAGAGGTGGCCTGTGGATGTCCAGGGCTAGATTCATGGACACTGCTGACTTGGGCAATGCGGCTTGGACCGTGACCAGTGCCCTCAGCCAGCCAGGACTCTGGCCTCCTGGGGACGATGTCATGGGCTGTCAGGGCCAGTTTTCCACTGGGGACAGCGGACGCCCTGGTGGGTTGTGGCCCCTTCTGCTGTGATTTCTCATGGCCTCTCACTGGAGTCTGGGAAGCACACACCAGCTGTGCCTCTGAAGGTGACTCCCAGGAACACCCCCCTCAGGCAGGAAGCAGGCTCTGCTTAAGATGGGGCATAGTCAGGACGGGGGCTGTGAGCTGCGGTGGGCGGCAGGCCAGCTGGAGGACAGCTGGGGCCCAGCAGTCGGGGAGCACCCTGCCTCCTCCCGGGAGGACTGCGGACCTCGCCAGCCACTCCCTTTGCTCTTCCCTCTTGTCTCCTCCCCAAGCCCAGCTGGCAGGTCAGCAAGGTTACATAACAGCTCCACCAAAGCTGCCACCTGTCCGTGTCACCAGGTGCAGGTGAGGGCCAAGACTGACCTTTGACCAGCCCAGGTCCAGCCCAGGCATGGGGCCAGGACCCACCATGGGGTACTGACTGGGCCCTGTGGGGGCTGCTGGGCCACATCCCTCCCTGCAGAGCTGCCCTCCAGGTGGGGAGGGGTCGGGCTTCTGTGAGAGGCTTCCTGTGGCCAGATCCACACACTTGAGCACCTCCTGTATGCAGGGTGTGGTGACATCATCGGCTGTCAGGGCCTTATCTCTGCCACCTAGCCCCGTGTGCTCCCCCGTGTGGGTGTGACGGGAGCGGAGCAGCCAGGAGGCTCCCCACATGGGGTAGCAGCTGTGGTCTGGGGAGGCTGGTCACCGAGCTCTGGGGGGCAGGAGGGCCGTCCCCCTGCAGAAGAGTCAGCACGGCACAGGGGCCTCCTTGCTCTGCTGCAGGCGACCCCCCTGGGAGCCGCAGTGGGCACTTGATGAAGGGCTCTGCACTTACAGGGAGAAACAGCCCGCGCTAGCCAGGAAGCTGGGGGCGACGGACCTCCTCTGCCAGGCCAGGACCCTGGGGCAGGGCCTGGGAGGGAGGAGGCCAGCCACACCCTGGGAAGTCGGAGGCCCCCCTAAACAGCCTGCAGCCTGTCACCCCTGAGGTCCAGGGGGCGGCCTGTGCTGCAGGGATGCAGAGGCGCAGGACTAGAAAGCACAGCAAGTGGGCTCTGTCCCGCAATTGGCAGGGTGAAGCTGCCCGGTGGGTGTGGGACAGGGTCTGTGGACGCCTGAGCATAATGGGGGTCTCAGGGGTGCTGCCCATGCTGCCCACTGAGCTAGTGAGAGAATAAGTGAGGGGACTACAGCTGGGACGGGCACAAGAGTGACAGAGCCAGGTCACGTCCACAGCCCTGCACTGGGCGCCCCCACAGCACACCTCTCACTGGGGTCTGGGAAGCACACACCAGCTGTGCCTCTGAAGGTGACTCCCAGGAACACCCTCCTCAGGCGGGAAGCAGGCTCTGCTTAAGATGGGGCATAGTCAGGACCGGGGCTGTGAGCCGCGGTGGGCGGCAGGCCAGCTGGAGGACAGCCCTGGCTGGGGCCCAGCAGTCGGGGAGCACCCTGCCTCCTCCCAGGAGCAGAGGCAGAAGGACCTGGGG